GATATTGAGGATTTTGAGGGGATCGTTCAGGGTTCATCCCCTTTTCGTGGGGTCTTCGGGGTTTTTATGGGTGGGGAGTCAAAAATGGGGGGTTTTGAGGGTTTTGGGGGTGGGGGAGTTGTGGGGAATTGGGGAGAATTCTTTTATGATAATTTGAGGGTTTGGTAGGGAAATAATTGAATTTTTTGGGGTGCGTTTTCTTTTTTTTTCGATATGCTGGGGTTTGCTATTTTTTTGGCGACGATTTTCGGGGGGTTTCGGGGGGCTCAAGGGTCTCCTGGAGACAATTCTCAGTTTTATAGACAGTGCTTATTCAGGTGTTACTCAGAGAGCTGTCGACACAGTAAGTGAATTTTATTTTTGTTTTTTCCGTTGTTTTTTTTCATGTTTCAGAGTTCCTCCAGATTTTTAGACGTAAGAATTATTCCACATCTCATGATCGAACGACGTGACTTAACTCTGCCTGGTCTTAATTTGAAGACTGGAAAAATGTCTTTAAGATGAAAAAAAAATCGTCAATATCCCCTCAACCGATCCCGAGTTATTGGCGATTGAAATATTTTCTCTTTGCAGATGTGCAGTTTGAAATTTCGGAGTTTTCATTGTTTTCCTGGACTTGCGAGGAAAATTGCAAGTACGACTGCATGTGGGAAACAGTGGGACAATTCCTGGAGCACGGACTGCAGATTCCCCAGTTCCACGGGAAGGTACTGCTCCAGCTGATGACCTTGGAGATGATTTTCACTGAATTTCTGGTTTCAGTGGCCATTCGTGAGGATTATTGGACTCCAGGAGCCGGCGTCTGTGATATTTTCGGTATTAAATCTCTACGGGCACTTTACGATGTACCGGAGGTTCAGGAGAGAGATCAGGTCGTCGTACCCCATGTCCCTGATGTGGACGTATCTAGCTGTCGTAAGTGGATTTTTAATTCAGTCTGTAATTTTCCATTTTTTAAATTCAACTCTAGATTTATTTCAGGTCTGTATGAACGGCTGGTTCTGGTCTGCAGTCTTCCATTCAAGGGACAGACCCTTCACCGAGGTGATGGACTATTCCTGTGCCTTCACCATCGTCGTGACCCTCCTCTTCTGCATCCTCGTGAGAATATTCCACAGGAGGAAAAAGGCATTCGTCGTTATAACTTGTGCATATCTCAGTATTTTATTCACTCATCTCTCCCATTTGTGGTCTGGCAGGATCAATTATGGATACAACATGAAGTTGAATATATTCTGTGGTAATTATTCATTGAAAATAATATTCTTTCTAATATTGATCGACAATTTTTCCCCAGGATTTCTGACGTTCGTCATCAGCATGATCTGGTGGTACAGAAATTCCAGGAAATTAAAACATATTTATCTCCTCGGATGGTTCAACATCATCTCCGTAGCTGTGACACTCCTGGAAGTCGCGGATTTTCCACCAATTCTATGGGTTTTCGATGCACATTCCCTGTGGCATGCCGCCACTGCTCCATTAGTCTATTTTTTGTACAGGTAATTAATAATTTAATAATTACTTTTAGTAGAAAAATCTAATTGATTTTTATTCTCAGATTTATGATATTAGACTGTCAGTATCTGAGAAAACAGGACAGCCTCTTGATAATTGATGAGACCCACATCGAATAGATATCCCATGACCACAGAAACAGCATAAAAACCACATCACCTCTTAAATAATATATATTTTATTAAAAAAATGTATTCTTTACATTGTAAAAACGAGACGAATCGACTTTAGTTGATTCGCGATATTTTCTATATTTTTTTTACCTCTGAAAACAATCTTGTGCTTTCGTTATCCTTGGATTTGATAATTTTTTTACATAAATATTAATGAAGTTGAATTTAATGTGGCATAGGAATGTTCAATTGATCAACAATCAATTTTTAATTTTTATTTTGCCTAGTAGAAAATGTTTTAAGTACCAAAATGCAGATATTCATCCTCCAAAATAATTACAGATGATTTTTTATCGGTGAATGAGTTATTCTTATAATGGCAACGAGTCAAATCATTCGACAAAATGATTTATAACAATTGCTACGCAAATACGAAAAAATTTCGTAACTTAATCATGACTATCCTGTCAAAATATTCGTAAATAATTAATTACATAATTATCACCTAGAGCTGCATACAAAAATCATCGCACATTCCTCCCAAAAATGAATAAAATTCCGTCTAATAGCGCCAATCATTAATAAATTGATTGTAAATATAGAAAATAAATTTTTAAAGCGACATAAAAATTGTTAAAACCTTTTAGTGCCTCAGGATCCCAAGATAATAATCTAAAAAAGACTTTTGATTGAAAAATATTTGAAATTTGGTGATTACTCTTGAGAAATTAAGCACCAAAGAGATAAACCAGCACCTGCAGGAGATGTTACTCATAAAATACTGATTTTTCCCATAAAAAAAAAATTATTCAACCGATAAAACCTACATTAAATTAATTTTAAAAAACTGGTATTAAAATCATTCGGACAGTTTGCTGCCTTTGTGAGCTATCACATAAATGCAAGGCTTCATCTCATCGAATGCTGCGTTAAAATTCATGGATATAAATACATAAGGCCATTAGTACGTAATAACAGGCTCAAGTCTTCTCTTTCAGGTGATTCCGATGGATCTGATCCGTTAATTGCAATTTATAATGGCAGTTCAACGCTCTGAATATTTTCTCGTCCGTCTTCTCTAATTTTTCAAATTATTTCAATTTTATTTAATCCTGCCTCTCAATGTTTAAAAAGTGCTTCGTGCTCTGGATTGTCATCTCTGTGCTTTTCTAGATTACCCGAGAGAGTTGGGTCTGGCCTGCGTCGCTTGAAAAATCCAAGCTTCCATAAAACAATAGTCAGGAGAATCAGGAGTAATAAACCGGCAACAATTGCCACGATTATTATCCAAATTGGCACAGGCTCGGCGTCCTGCTGGTCCCCCAGGTCTGGATATGCAATGGTTTCAGCCTAAAAATTCCAAAAATCATTTTCCTCAATTAAAAATTCCAAATCGATAATCAGATAATTATTTCTGTTATTAAAATACAAAAAATTACGAATCGATTTTAAAAATCGGTTGATTTTTCACGAATATCTCGGAATCCTGAAGAGCTAGTGGAATTGTTGATGAGATCTTTTCCCCAGCTCTAAAGGAACTCTACAAGAAAGGTCTAGAGCATAATTTGAGTATTTTCCTTTGATTCAGAGATATTCAACAAAAACTGAAGTAGTAGATTAATTTCTCACGATTGCATGATCATTGTTGAGGTCTTCCTGCTGGATCTCGATGTTGGGAGGAATGACGAGTCTCGCGTTGGATCCAATTTTCACTTTATCGACCTTGGGGTAGTCCTCAACGAGAGTGGAATTCCAGAGTCTGAATAAAAACCATAAAAAATTGATTTCTGAATTGAACACCCCACCGATCAATGAAATATTCACCTGGCCTTGACTGTTATCGTAGCCTCCTGCTTCCTCTCCAGGTTGTAGATTATGCAACGAATGTCAAAGCACTTGGCAGTGCCAGCTCTACAATTCTACGAGGGAATAAAATAAATTTAAAACAATAACAAACGAAATTCGATAATTGAGATGAATAAATGAATAAATCTCTGGAATTAATACCATGGAGACGACCTGATGACGATGTCCATCATCATCAACGACAGTTCTAGTGTTGACGACCTTTTCAGTGTCTCTCCTCTCCCTGATATGATTAGCAGTTGTTCGATTTCTCCAGTAGCTCGCAGGTGCATCAGTTGTAACTCCAAACTGGGGATCTAGGTCCTCATAGCTGGAGCTCCTGAGTAAATTGAGGGGATTCTCCTTGAAGCCAGAAGGTATAAAGCACTCTCCAGAGTGGCTGATGGTTGGTTTATCCTCCAGGTAGAGAAGCCACTTGCCATGCGGTTTGTCATTGGCGACTTCATAGGGCCAGGAGATGAAGACCTCGACAGTCCTGACCTTCCAGGGCCCCTCGTTGAAGACCTCATAGATGTGGGAGACTTTGGGCCCCACCTGGTCCAGCCTTTTAATCGCTGACTCACCCACAACCTCTCCACCGTAGTAAGCCCACTGGGTCTTGGCACTTCCTTTCAGTGACAATTCAGCTCTCTTCACTACAATCGCCTGCAACTGAATTGGCGATTTTTTGCTCACCTCCTGGGACGTGGAGTTGGCAAATATTCTGAAGCCCAGCTGTGGCTCGTTGTCCTCCACTCCTTTCGGATCGAATCTGATCTGGAGGCTAACTGCGTTGTCCTTCCGGAAGGGATTACCAATGGCGCAGATGACGAGGGTCGTATTGTGGAGATTGCAGATGACGGATTCGTTGCTCTTGGACGCGATGTAGTTGAGACTTGGGGAATGGGTGACGAAGAGCTGCGCCTCGTACGCCGATTCACCGATGTTAGCTGCATTCACGTCCACTATCACCTCCTCGACTTCTCCCAGGAGGAGCTCGTAGAAGCTGGTGGGGAAAAGACAATACCCGATCGAGCAAACGAAATTTTTGTAATTGATTTATAGAAATAATGGACACTCACTTCGGTTTTATCGGGGATGGGGCGAGTTTCAACCTGGCCTCCACCCTCATATCACTCTCGCAGATGTCGTTGTCCCCGCAATCCTTCTGGAAGCTCGCCTCGAAGGTCCTGGCTGCCTCCTGCTGATTTAATATCGGATAATCACCGATGTCTGTCAGAGGCTGTCCCTCCCCCGGCATCCTGGGCTCATGCTGCACTAGGGTGTAGTTAACACGGAATTTTATCGGGGATTGAATGTCCCGGGTGTTCTCCTTGAGGTACACCAGCTCCTTCTGACAGTGCATTACCTGGGGAACACATACATGACAAATTTAATAAATCGTCGATTAAAAGTATTCATATAAATTTGAATTAATGAACAAAGAATTAATTAATGACCTTCGTAGCATCCAGGGTGACATTTCTGTTGACATAATGCGCTTTATTCCTGCCAGCAGCGAACCACACCCTCGAGAATTTCTTTTGCCCTGTGAAAGTCTCAGCCTCGATGTGATAATTCAGTTTTAAATTCTGCATCCCCTCGTTCTGATTCAACGACTCGGTCTTACAGCACGCCTCAAACTCAAAGCAAGTGAAGTTGGAGATGGGATCAGCAGAGCATCCAATCCTATTCGGATCCAGAGGTTCGATCTTGTCGACGTAGGATTTATTCTTCGAGTACCTGATGAACGTCGAGATGTCGATGATCTTTCTCGCCCTGAGGAGAACGACGGCGTCATTGTCGTACGCCCCGATGAGAAGATCTGGATATCCATTCCTGTCCATGTCTATTCCACCACTGAGAGAGTACCCAAAGGTCCTGAGGGGGACAGGTGTGTCCTCCGAGTGAATAACTTGAGAGGGAGTCGTGATTATTCCGTTCTTGGAGCCGAGGTAGATGTAGACAGTGCCTTTTCCCTCGTAGGGTGCACCGATCGCAAGATCCTCGAAGCCATCGCGATTCAGATCCCCCAGGTTCGCCAGGGCGAAGCCAAAACGCGACTCCTCACGACCTACTAATTTAGTGGGACGACATTTTTCAGAGTCTCGATTGATTCGACAGAGGGATGTGTAGATGTAGACAGCCCCACCCTCGAGCTTGTTGAAATAAAAAGGCGCTGATACCACCAGGTCCGTCTTCTTGTCGCCGTTGACGTCCAGGGCGGCTATTTCGTAGCCAAACGACGAGGCGAACTGCTCCCCGTCGAGGGTCAGGGCCACGTCCATATCAGGTCTTCAAAAAAAGGTGTATTATGACAATAAATAAAATACGAGTTTGTAATTATCGAATTATCTCAACAACCAGTGACTTTACAGGAAAAAGTGATAACTTCACTTTCGTAGGGACTTTTCCAATCTACAAAAAATAGTCTATCACATTTTTTCGTGGCAGTGATACTTTTGGAGATAATTGAATTTTTAATGGGACCATTCCAAGTACCTGAAGTCCTGTCTCGTGAGGATAACGACCTGTCCCGTGCCGTTGGACCTGGGGGCACCTGATGCATAACTCGATCCATTCCCGAAGAAATTCCCAACAGTGACAGACATCCCCAGGTAACTGTACTTATTGACAGGAGATGCGTCCTGCATGGGTGCATGATAGACGGTGCTGTCCCTCGATAAATAATCATCAGATACCGTGAACAGGTAGAGAGTTCCCCTCCAGGTGTGAGGACCAGGTGTACCAATGACAACTCGATCATCAGACGTGAGAACACCACTGGTACCAGCCTGACAGTATCCAAACTGCTCGTGTGCTTTATTCGTGGGCTTCCCCGAGCACGGCTTCTTCAGGTCCTGATACTTCAGGTCATTCGTGAGAATATAGCACTGGCCCTGGCCCCACTGGGAGTCAGCTGTCTTCACGATATGACGATGGGCACATACCATCACCTTACCACCAGCACCCTGACTCCTCACAGTCACACCCAACCACTGGCCATCCTTAATCTCATCATTACCCGGTGGAATCAACTCATCCGAGTCAATATCTGAAACAATCTCCAATCAGCTGGTGCTCCTCTCAACAATCCCATCATCAGCGAGGTAAAAATGTTAGTTAGTGAACGACGAAGTGGAAACTCCAAAAAAAAAAATCATCACATGATCATCACATGAAAAATCATCATTGATTTTAAATATTAATAACAATATTATCTCTCATCTTATCGTGGAATTTTCATTTCAATTATTAATTTCAATATCACAATTTTGCCAGACGAAAAATCGTCGATGGAAAGCCAAACGAAGCGATTTGTGCGTTTGAGTATTAATTAAACGCATTTAAACGAAAGAAATTCACCTGGGGAATAAAAATAATTGAACAAACAATTGCTCAATATTTTTATTTACAGGGGAATAATCTTCTCGTTTATGCGTCATGATTTGCGTTTTTAAGATTTGAATGCTGTTATTCGCGTGCCAAAGCTAATGCATCATGCCGATGTAATTAATTGAATAAAAATGAATCATTCAAATCATTCACCACCTTAATTCCACTTACTTGGATCATATAGACCATCTTCAGCTGTTAAAGTAATTCATAATTGTTTAGAATATTTACTCAATGTTTATGACCTTGTACTTATTAGTTACATATTTATAACGATTGTATTACGGTTTTATATATCATTAGGTAATATTAATGGTCTACTACATGTACATTTACGTAATACCATGTAATGTTACACCAGGTCATTCCT